ATCTGAATCAGCCTGATGGAGGGTTTTGATTTATTTGCAAAGTAGTCTGCATTGATAGTTGATAGTAACACACTCTTAAGTGAGTGCATAATAGGAGGTATTCTTAGCTTTATGATCAGTCATCTACTTTTGACTCTTCACTCCTCACTCTTCACCCCTCACTCCTCACTCTTCACTCCTCACTCTTCACTCCTCACTCCTCACTCCTCAATCCCCTCTCCTCTCTTCATCCATCACTCCATGTACGCATCACTCCATTCATTTATTTCCTCTTCCCCATCACATGATTTACATCATAATTCCTCATTATCTCCTTCAATCACAGCCGAAATGAGACAATCGGTCGTTATGCCCACTTTATACTCCAGCACGCACTCCACTCCACTAATGTCAGGGGTTAGAATGTTGATGTGCCTTTTCCCGACCTTGGCGCCATGGTATTGGTGGCTGATGATTATGGTAAAGTCGCCCTTGGGAATAATGATCATTATCACGTGCTCTTCAGAACATTGGTTGGTTCGCAAGCTCGGAGAGAATCGTGGCGCAGTTATCAAATGGGGTTTCGAGAGAAAAGTTGTAGAGATCATGAGGAGATATCCATTGGCCATCATTAACTACGAATAGCACTTAAAATAGACATAGCGAATGCCGGTAGACATAATTGTTAAAAGCCGTGAGATGTCCCCTTGGTGGTTATGCTATTCAAGACCTTGAGGCTGAGACGTCATACAGTAGTTGTCGTGGTTTGGTAATACAGGGTATAGGGACTGCCTTACAGTCGTAAATACAGCTAGCTTGCACCCAAGGCTTCACAAGGCTACGATATCTAAATGTTATCCTCATGCTCTCGTCTCCTGGTTAAGTCAACAGTCCTGAGTATCCAATCGATGTCCAAGTGGAAGTGGAAGTGGTGATGGGTATCGATTTTTCTCGCAGTATTGTCATCTTGGACATACTTTTATAAAGGTAAGAGTTCTGGAACCTACTTACTATACATGTAACGCTTTTCCAACTAAAATATTCAATTATTTGAGTTTTTATATTCTGGTTTATTGATTATAATATATAGTTAAATTAAAAATTATATCAAATATAAATACAAAATTATTTAAATTAATTAAAAAAATATATAATTTATTTTTAAATATTTTTATAATAGTATTTTTGAAGAATTAAAGTTAAAAATTCGAAAAGATTTGAAAGATTTGTGTTTTTTCTATAGGAAAAGTATTACAAATTAAAAATTCTGAGTTTTTTCAATTAAAAGTTTATATAATTTTTCAATAAAAATATTTAAAAATAAATTAGAAATCTTTATATATAAATAATGATTTATATTATTTATTAAAAAGTTTTTGTAATTTAATATCAATAATTGTATTACTTATATAAATTTTAGTTTATATAAAACAATATGAAATTTGTAGGGATTATATTACAAAACATCACGATGTACAGTAAGTATGTTCGATAACTCTTCCTATCAAAGCTTCTTTCTATTCACATGCCAATGAGAACTCCGAGATCCATAACCTTAGTCAGGGAACAAGACTCCAAGAGCACTCTTGTTATCGAGAGCCAAGTAGTTTTTAAATTCGCACTATAAGCCCCCTTGGCTTGCCTGGAGCTTGAGAGTATTGAGCGCTGCTAGCGAACATTTGAGGATGGCTGAACGTTTCTTTACTACCCTGTTCTATTTTCTCTGCCCTCTGCACTCTTGTTAGTAAGGCAAATTCCAAGGCTGTAGGCAGTTACGCCCAAATTCAAGATCAGATGGTTTGTGCTAGTACACAAAGTGTCAAGCAAGTTCTGCTTGGCATGAGAAGATAGTGTTATTGAGGAGCCTAGTTTCCTATATTTGAACTACCTTATTTTATTGCTTTCATGGAGCAAGCGCTCATCATTTCAGATCACTCCCAGCCTTGATTCAAGTGACCAATCTGATGTTGAGCTACAATAATCCTCTCGAATGAAAATTCAGAAAGTGTGGTCATTTCGAGAATTTGGGGAACTCCTGTTTCGCCATCATACCCAAATGCTATATATGTATTCTGATCCACAATTATTATGACGGGAAAGTAGCGCTTGAATGCGTACAATTTGCTTCAAGGTAGCCGTTCAGGGTAAATACTTCAATTCGATTAGCATAGGATGTTTAAGCAATAATTGCTTTCGAATAGTTACTGCATGCTCGGGGAAGCGCAGTACACGGTTTCATCTCTGCCATCTCACATTTACACTGAGTTTAGACTGGCATTCAACATCTGATAAGGAGGCCGTATGAAATTTGAATAGAGGAACTTGTACGATGCCTATATGTGTGCTTGGTATACAAGCTGATCACCAGAATCCAAGCTCAAATCAGATAATCAGATTGTCTGGGAATGTTCTCACCTTAATCTATCTACTTCTCATAGGTAGTTGAATTATGGGATCGGTAACTTAATAAATCTCCAGTATTTTATCAATTATGAGGTTCTTCGAAGTTGTCGTCTTGTAGTAACTCGCCAACTACATGGAGATCAGATTGCTTAATCTTGACCGCTCACGTTTCATCATTTTGATTTATTCCGCATTAGTTTTGTGTCCCTGAAGCTTCCTCAAGAATTTGTAGATTTAAGAGCTGGAGCATATATGACCTGCGTTTGATTCACTCATCACTTATCCATTATTTCAGTCTATCGACTTATCAATTAGATTGATATGACTGGATTGCCCTGTTGCTTATTTCTTTATTTCTCAATATCCAAGCGTTCCAGATATTCGAGTACACCTCTTCCCTTCACCTCTCTAAGGTACACAACTTACTCCAGCTTTACATAGCTCCTACCTACCCCTCCCGACCTCAATACCACTGCATTCAACACGTCTCTCTATTCAATTCTCTCTTTTCACTCCGTTGCGCTTCGGAAGTATTGCGGTCTATTATTCAATCGGTTGGCCACAACTAAAAGTGCTCATCAGTCCAAGTTTTGTTGCATATCTGAAAGGCTGTGAGGGGCTCAAATCCAAATCGATTGAAACCTCTTGTTGCAACGATTTTGAGATGTGCAACAAGACTGAACTGAACGCCTGATCTAACTCTTCAAAGTAGAGAAATGAGAAGTTTTGTTGTATATCTGAAAGGCTGTATTGTCTGAGAAACCCAAATCCAAATGGATTGAGATCTCTTCCTGCAACGATTTTGAGATCTACAATAAAACTCCTCATCTCTCTACTTTGAGAATTAGGTCAGGTGTTTGGTCTTATTGTATCTCTCAAAGAGTGTATTGTTAGAGAGGTCCAAATCCAAATCGATTGACACCACTACTTCAACAAACAATTTTGAGATATGCAATAAAATTCCCACTTTCTCATTTCGAAGAACCAAGCAGGTCAGGTGCTAACTACCTTAAGTTTTGTTGTATATCTAATAGAATACACTCTTGAGAGGGTTCTCGATCCAAATCGATTGACACTTACTACTTCAACAAACAATTTTGAGATATGCAACAAAATTCCCACTTTCTCACTTCGAAGAACCAGGTCAGATACTCAATCTTGTTGTATATTTGAGTTCGATACTTCAATTTAGGAAACGAACTGTAGTATTACAAAATCTTTATTTCTTCCCCAGATATATAATAAAACTCTTATTTCCCTACTTTAAAGAATTAGATTAGATACTCAATCTTGTTATACACTTTAGATGAGTCTAGAAACTTCAATTTTTGAAAACGAACTGTAATATTACAATCCGTTATCATTTCCTCCTCAGATACGCAACAAAACTCTTATTTCCCTATTTCAAAGAGCTAGGTCAAATACCCAATCTTGTTGTATATCTGAATTCAATATTTCAATTCTCGAAAACAAACTGTAGCATTATAATCCATTATCATTTCCTCCTCAGATATACAACAAAACTCCTACTTTCTCATTCCGAAGAATCAAATATTCAGTCCAATTCCGTTATACATCTCAAATAAATCTAGAAATTTTCAATTCTGAAAGCGAACTGTAGCGTTACAAAGTCTCTACGATTTTTCTCAGATATGTAATAAAAGTATCGAGTAGTATATAGTATACAGTATGTTTGTGTTTGTGTGAGAGAGGGAGAGAGGGAATAAACTATGGATATGTAGGATATATAGGAAAATCAAAATTGAGAGAACTCGTCTAAAGATAGGAGAACGGAAGGAAAACGAAACGAACGAACGAAACGAACGAAACGAAACGAAACGAAACGAACGAAACGAAACGAAACGAAACGAAACGAAACGAAACGAAACGAAACGAAACGAAACGAAACGAAACGAAACGAAACGAGACGAACGAATCATATCGCATCGCATCACATCGCATGGCATCGAATAAGAATACACATCATTAAGAACTAGACAACACATCATTCCTTACCTCACTCAACATCCTGCACTATAATCAGTCCTAATAGCAGAGACTCGAGTATCCCATTTTCAAACATATCATCTACATCTCCTATATCTTCCATCTCACAAGAGACGTATACATTATACATATCATACATTCCAAAGCTCAAAATCACCATAAAGATCCTGTCCCATATTACTCAAACAATACAACACATACTTGCAACGTGAATATGATAACTCGTGTATTTCTGCTTATTGACCGTTTTCAATCCTTTCATCCCTGAATTATGCATTGATTCATTGCCATTGATTGATAGGAAACCTCCAAACTGGTCCGACCCGTTCCAAACTCCCTTCCTTACAGATTACCTAGCACCAAAGCCAATCCCAAGCCCGAACCCAAACTGACGTCAATGTGATCTTAAAACGACTAATTCCAATCCATTGTTCCTTACTTCTTTTCATCATCACAGCCATTCTATGTCCCTTCTACTTGCCCATTGCTGTGACGCATTATATCGCATCAGCACAATTGCAATTCCCACCCACCGCCTCACCACTGCGCAAGCGAAGTGCCTCCTAACTCGGACTTCCTCAACCAACGTCTAATTTTCATCTCATCAGAATTTATCGAATGACTCCATCTCCCTCGGTGTGTTTTGTAGGTGGTGGACCCATTGGTGCTTGGTAAACATCATCTCCGCCTCTCGTGTAGGCATTGGGTGGTTGTTGCAATTCGATATCTGGTTGGCCATGATGACCATGATGACCGTAATATCCATCATTGCTATTAAAAGTGTTGCCCGTTTGTTGAGGTGGGATTTGTCCATTTGGGAGTATACATTGGGGAGGGGGACCATAGTTTAAGCTCCGGGTTGGTTGTTGTAATGACCGTATGGAGGTGGCTTGGCCATCCAGCCTGTACCATACATTGGCTGGATTCCTTGACGACGACGACGACGGGAGTTGATGCATCTGGTGGTGTGTGTTAGTGGGTTTGAAGTGAGAATGTTGAAGAAAGGGATGTGATATGGCGAGCCACATATGAGCTCGATAGATAGCTACGATCAAAATCGTGCCAGCGAAGCATATGGGAAATAATAATAACTTACGATAAACCGAAAGCCAGAAGAACAAAGGCAAGAATTATAAGAACTAGCACAACCCATCGTCCCCAACTGCCCCATGTAGAATAACAGTTTCCATAGCCATCGCAGCTGTAAGGCATTTTATTAGTTTAGACACTGATATCTGCTGTTGATATTGCGAGATGCGTTGCAGAATTGTGAATAGGTTGAAATATGATTATGTAAAATCTGGATATCTGAATATGCTCGATGTAAGTAATAAAAGATCGAGAATTACAGAGGTTGTGTGTGTGTGTGTGTGTGTGTAGAACGCAAGAGAAGTGAAGTTATTGTGGAAGTTGTTCGTATTTCGCAATAATCACAGCTCACAGACAACAACAAGAAATATAGAGAGAGGTTGGGTAAGGAAATCGGAAATTGACTTACTTATTGACAATATCATCATCATCAAAGTCATTGCTTTGCCTCTTGGCAATCATCTGCACGAGCACAGCCATGATTTCGTTGGTAAGATTCAGCTGGTTTTAGGTTGGTACAGCAGGTAGGTATTACAAGGAAGAGAGCTTGAGGGAATTTTTTCTTATAATTTGATTGAAATCCTTATCGTGGCAAAGAGGATACGCGGCGACGGGGACCGGGGGGGGGGGGCTGAGAGTATGATGGTTGGGTACTTTTTTTTTGCGGGGTAAGCAAGATGATCCGTCAGGAATTGATTGTCTGATGTATTGAGGAGAGCGTATTGTATAAAGAGAAGAGGATGAATAAGGAAAAAGAAGGAGAAAAAAGAGAGAGGAGAGACGGTTGATATGGAGACGATGAGACAATTATGGTAGATGGTTGGATCTTTTTAAATCTTCCGGTAGAGAATGGGAAAAAGCAAAAGAAAGGTGAAGAAAGGAATAGGAAGTGTACTAGCTAGAGAGGAAATCAATAGCTAAGAGACATATCAGCTCAGGTACCTGGGACTTGGGTTGTAACTCGTAAGTGCTAGATAGATACTACTAGGTAGCTTCTTTGGTGATAGGTATGAGGCTATGTTGAAAAAGTAAGTCAATGTCGGGACTCGGGACTCGGATTGGATTTGATGGATAGATACGAGTAGATCGAATAGATAGATAGATCCCATACATATATGTATGGTCAATATGTATGGATGTACGATGTTGTAATAAAATACGAAATATTTATTATATACACACAAACATACACATATACACATATACACACACACTCACACACACACTCACACACACACACACATACCCATTACATCAATCAATAGATTACATCGATGTGGATCTCTCTCTCTCTGTCTCTCTGTCTCTATCCCTTCCTCCTTCCTATTCATCACATTCCCGAACATTCCGGATCACGAGAGAAGGGAGAGAAAATTGCATAGTGGTGGAGTGAAGCGAGGTAGTTGCACTGATTGAAGTGAGGGTTGGGTCCTCTAGATTTCCACCGGCATCAACGTCAAGCCTTACATGGAAAATCCTACCTACCTACTAGGTATTCACATGTATGTAATATAACATACCAATCTGTAGATGGAGAGTATTTCAAATCATATACCTATAATATCTAATATCTATATCTAGGTATTGGTTGATGTATAAAGAAATACTAACCTAGGTAGTAATAAACTGATAGCTTCATCTCCTTCTACTTGTTGTATATAAATTCCAGCTAACTAGTATATATACTAGTATATATGACTATATGTACAATTGTCAAAATAACATCATATATCAATGATAACCAGAGAGACCAGACAGACCAGACCTCGTATATAAAATCATTCAAATAATTCCAACAACTCCATCCTATCCATATATACCAATCACCCTCAACCAATTGGTCTTTCCAAGAACCATGTATCCGTTCACATCCGACTCGTTCATCCCATATGTTCCCAATCTCTTGACTGATTAATAAGTTTACATCCTCATTCTCATCCTCATCCACACTCCCAAAGAAAAGCCCGTCATACTCAATCAAATTCCACTTCATATAATTAAATAAATCAATAAAGTTGTCCAGTAGCTAGCTAGCTACTACTACTACTACTACCACCCAGTCCGGTAACCTTAAGAACCTTCTCAGAGCTCCATCACAGATTCACAGCCCTGTCTGTCCTATCCACCTAAACAATTTCCCTCCTAATTTTTATCAATTCTCTTTTCCTTTTCCATTTCCTCTTCCCCTTCCTCTTCCTTTCCTCTTCCATTTCCTCAAGCCTCACTCAAAAAAAAAAACCCCTTCCTCCCTCCCAATTGTCTCAGCGATTCTTTTCTTCAATCACACCCCCTCTCGCCAATCCCTCCAATCACACCACTCACCCATCCTCCATTCCTGCAAGCCATGGCTATCCATGCCCGGTGCCAACGCATCAAACGTGCGGACTGTGCTTTTCTGAGAATTAAGGGCTGCCAGCGAAGCATGCGCGATGCATCTCTAGGCATGATTGTATGAAATGCCTGACGCTCCCTCTCCTCTGTCATTTCTTTTCTTCCCACCCTTCCTCCCTCCCTCGATTCTTTTCCCCGTCAATTCCAATTGTCCAGCGCGAACTCGATGTCTTTCCCATCACTCACCATCCCAGCCCATGGAAAGGCTCCCGAGAATCCACTCATGATTGCTGTACACATTACATACGATGCGCCGAGAAATTGATACGATGTATAAAATGCAGGTGAGACACTCAATACGCCGTTATAAACATTCGTATTCGCCTCGATCTCCTTCCCAGCATATTCAATGTTTTGGCCAACTCGACTCGAGCCTCAAGGTACTTACTTTATGGGTAGAGGGCATCTGGTCACGAAATAGGTTACGAAGGAGACGCGCGCATCTACGAATATTGGAACATAGTCTCATCACGAAAGCTTCAAATAAAACTTCGGAATAAGCTGGGCATTGGGAATCTTTCACCGCGGACAAATTCTACACAGGTTAACAGCGCACATGCAGTTGATAGCAAGCCAATCTTCGCTCGAACGGATTTCTGACAGATACGGGTTTCCAACACACAGGATTCATCGTCATCTATTACCTCGTTCTATCATTGCTAAGACGCGACATTGCCCTAATATACCGCCAAAGACAAAACGAATACATAAAACGTCTGAAGACTTTCCGGAAATCCTACAATTTACACCTCAAGACGATCGCATGAAAGATAAACGTATATATATGTATATTGGGAAATGGAAAAGCGCAAAGCACTCATGGAAATACGACTGGGCTTGGAAGCGCAAAGTATGAATGTTTTAAATACAATGGTTCTTCTCCGATTATTTCAACACACCGGTGCCACTACCTCATTTACCAACTGGCACCATGCAACACGCTGGATGTCGATCCCAGTAATCCAACAATAAAGCAGAGGGTCGTAAAGTCGTCTCATCGTAGCAGACATGGCGCATCCTACCCAGAAGAATACAAGGAAATTTGATACATTTCTGTCCCGCCGTTCGGCTCACAGCAAATCGAAAAATAGAAGTCGAAGGGATCCTCGCCGATCGAGCAGGAAGAATTTGAAAATAATTAGAATTGGTTGCTGTGGGCTGAGGAGATATATTCGTGGTCCGCGAAGATCCTTTTCGAAGTTCGATCATTTATCATCCCATATTTTCGCCATTTCATGTCGTTAATCATCGTTACTATCCGGAAAATTCGTACCCGCAATACTCCATCCAAACTTCGCGACAAGATTTACTTGTTCTTTGATGATCAATCACCCACCCACCCTCCGTATGCACTCTACTTATTCGCCCTTGCAACCAGCCATTGCAAAACAGCATCCAAATTTGTCTCCTCCTTAGCACTGATCCCATAACAGCTCACCTCTCTATGTCCTACACTCTTTAGATCCAACCTCTCAATCAACTCGTCCACACTCAACTTGTTTTCCAAATCAGATTTATTTCCCAATACCAAAAGAGGTATCCCTTGCAACACGGGTTTTTCTAAAAGCAAATGAAGCTCATCTTTAGCGATTGGTAAGGCATCGGGATCGGCAGAGTCGACAATAAACACAATAGCATTTACGCCGCGACAATATCGCTCCCACATGGAACGAAAGCGGGGTTGTCCGCCTAAATCCCAACATTTGAGAGTGACATGACCTTTCTGGACACGCTTCATATTAAAACCAACTGTAGGAATGGAGCTATGAGGGAAAGTAAAATGTGGTCAGCTTGGAGCGGTTGCGCAACGTGGGGTCTACGAATATGCGAACCCCGCTTCGATGAAATGAAGGCCGTGATAGGAAGGTATATATATGTATCTTGTCTTGGATGTGAAGGAAAGGAATCATCGTACTCAAGTGTAAATTCTCCGCCCTGCACATTAACACCATCATTAGCATTTCCGCCAAAGTAAAACGGTTCAACATGGAAAGAAAAGGTGAGTCGAATTAGAGCTTACCGCTAGTACCCTTAACAAAGATGTCTTTCCAGCATTTTGCAAACCGATCATCGTAATGTCCATTTCCGTAGCCCTAAATGGCAGATTACAAAGTTAGTTGATGGAGAGCAGAAAATCTTATTGAAATTGCCTTTTTTGAGAGGGTCGCTGTCAAAATGAAGATGTGCGCACAAGGTCGACGTCTTCAAGCAACAAACAGATGGTGAGAAACATACCAGAAAAGCCGCAGCAACCAATCATACACTCGTCTGAATATACTTGCCATGATTTTTCAGTCTCTCTTGCACACCTATGTGAATGGTTTATTGTTTCGATGGAAGCCCTGGAGCTCTGTCGCTGACGAGTATGTTATTTCGTCGATTCGCAAGGCTGTGCAGGTACGGTAGGGTAGGTATGTGAGGTTTCTGGACAAGAGGAAGATACAAGATTGCAGGGTTGAAGCCGGCAAAAGAAGTAGAGATGCAGTGTAGCCGCAGACCGTTTTTCCGTAAGTAAGCCAATGATCAGATAGCTACCCAATGTATATCGTACACTTCGTTCGCCGTTTCAATAAATGTCAAAGTGACTTGATGGTTTGTACAAGCATGCAATAGTGAATGGCGAATGAATCAAGATTGAATGAGTGAAGTTGAGTGTAGTATGTATGGCGGATAGATTCTTCTTCTGGATGAAAAGGGTTCAATGTGACGGTGAAGGGAAGTTTAGCACACAATCGGTTGTAGCGCTTGTGATTCCCCTCAAAAGAAGGCTTGCACGAACCACTTCGGTAATGATTGCAAGATTGAGAGCACGATTTTAGGTTATTGTGCGGTTGCGGGCGGGTAGGCGATAAGTACAGGTGGGAAGTTGAAGTGATGTACAGATTGATTGATTGATTGATTGATTGATTGATTGATTGACTGACTGATTGACTGGTTGACTGATTGACCGATTAATTGATCGATTGATAAAATTGTATACAAATAGAAAAGAAATCACAACAGCCAGATGAAGTCCAAGTCTTTTTGAATGTGTGGTACTGGGCTGCTGGATATTGTAATACAATCAGTAATAGGAATGAGAGAATGGGTTTGGTCTGGTAAGGTTGGGTAGAATTGAGATGCTGCGTTGAGCTATTGATATCGATTGATGGACCAAATGATGGAAAAGAGATGGATGGATGGATGGATGGATGGCAGGATGGGTGGATGGCAGGAGGGATGGATATATGGGAAGAAGAAGAGGAAGAAGAAGAGAAGGAAGAAAACTTGGCGATGCAATAGATCTATCAGACCAATAAGTAGAATATTGGGATGTATATAATGAGTTGAATGAATGAATGAATGAGGTACTAGTGGTAGCTGGAGGTGCTAGGTAATATCTCCACGAAATTTGAGACAGCGAGAGACTCGTCTCGGTAGCCCCAAAAGAAATATGGTGAGAATGTTTCCTTTCGAGTAAAGAGAGGGTTTGCTTTTTCTTCACTTCCTTTCCATAACCAGATATGAATGAGGTAAGTTGGCTTCCTTTCGTTTGCTCTCTCGTTCGAACTATGTATGTACCTAGGAGCCTAGTAGGTAAAACATGGGTATCTGCATCTCAAGCTACAGAAGTACCTCCATACATTCGCACAGCAGATCGCATACCGCAGGTCAAGCATGCAGCTATGAATCCGGGAACATTCAAAATCAGGTTCAGACCGATTTTATTACATACATGTACATACTGCTCGTGTACGGAGGAGATACCTACTTCGTACCTAGGTACTTTCCTTGGGGGGGATGATTATCAATGTATCAATGCATTCATTATTCATACCTAGGTAGGTAGTACTTCACACATGCAATGCAGCTGATGAAGCTTTGGATGTAGAAGAGCGAATGAAACCCTCTTCTCCATCAACATCATTCAAGCCATCAAATGCCCTCGCATTGGATTTTCGGGGGATGTGAGCCCAAGGTGTTTGCCCAGGGATATCATAAGCTTGAGCCCAATGATGAATGAAGAATGATGCATGTGGAATGTGGAATGCGAAGTCTGTATACCTGTGCTACCTCTCCTCCCTCTCCAACCCATCCTATCCTACCTCTCCTACCTTTCCTACAATGTTTCTCCAAAGCAAAATAGAACAAACTTGGAAAGCCTCGACCTTAATCTACCTAGGTACATACCTACCTACCCTAGTAGTAGCACCAATCTCAGCCAATCAATCAAATATCACGATTGTGACGATAAGAGATAAAAACATGGATAGCTTATATAATCAAAAGTTTTTTTTTTCTGCCGCAACTTGTACATGCCGCTCATTCGATATCAACAAACTCTTTCGAGAAGGTAAAGTTTCCCATGAATTGAAGGATTTGCTTTGATCGTAAGTATTTGTTTTGCCCCAAGCTTCATTAGTCTTTCGAATATTCTCTCAATGAAAACACTTTAACTGATCAATTGCGTTCAGCTTCACCATGGCTCCCTCGAAGTCTCCCTCCGCTCCCACAAACACCAAATGGACTCACGAGTTTGATACCGTTCGAAGAGAGAAACTTTTCCGAGACCCCCCAAAAGATCACACAGCATATCCTGCACTTACCGCTGCAGTCGCTCCTCACATCGAATCATTCAATGCACTGTTCGAGAAAGATGGTTTAATTGCCCAAGGTTTATTGGATATTGGATCCAAAACCTACCTCGATGGAGATGATAGATTAGGTCCAGGGGGAAAGAACAAGTTGACTGTGAGGATTAAGGAAGTCTTCGTTGAAAAGTCTATGTTACCTGCATCCAACAAGTTCTCGACCAAAAACAGAGAAATCTTACCGGCAGAATGCAGAGAACGACATGTTACCTACAGAGGAAAGATGTCGGCGCGCATGGAGTATTCGATTAACAACGGGGACCCAAAAGAGTTTATCAGAGATCTTGGGCAATTGCCTTTGATGTTGATGGTATAAACCCTCGTGAACTTCAATCTCGGATTGAGCTGACCTTTTTCTCTAGTCAAACAAGTGCCATCTTCAAAATAACTCACCAGCACAACTTGTGCAAAAGAAGGAGGAATCCGAAGAGCTCGGAGGATACTTCGTGGTGAACGGAATTGAGAAAATCATTCGTCTTCTTGTTGTCAACCGAAGAAACTTTCCTATGGCCATTATCAGACCTTCATTCAAAGGCAGAGGTCCAGCATACACCGAATTCGGTATGCTCATTCGATCCGTACGACCCGATCAAACTTCTCAAACCAACGTGCTTCACTATCTCAATGATGGAAATGTTACTTTCCGTTTCTCGTGGCGCAAGAACGAATTCCTTGTACCTGCTATGATGATTTTGAAGGCATTGGTGGAAACAAACGACAAGGAAATCTTCGAAGGACTTGTTGGTGCTGCTGGTTCGAAGGGAGCAGACAACACATTCTTAACTGATCGTGTGGAATTGCTATTACGTACATACAAGGCCTACGGTTTATACACAAAGAGCAAGACTCGAGCATACTTGGGTGAGAAATTCAGAATTGTCCTTGGAGTTCCAGACACTATGTCAAACTACGATGTTGGAACGGAATTCCTGCGCAAAATTGTCCTCGTCCATCTAGGAAATACCGACGTCACAGAAGCGCAAGATAAGGACAAATTCAAGATGCTTCTTTTCATGACCAGAAAGTTGTATTCTTTAGTTGCTGGAGACTGTGCTGGAGACAATCCTGATGCGGTCCAGAATCAAGAAATTTTACTCGGAGGATTCTTGTTCGGTATGATTATCAAGGAGAGACTTGAAGATTGGCTTCACACTGGTTTAAGAATGGCATTGAGGGACTATGTTCGACGAAGTCCAGAAAACAACTTTGCGACTCCAGAATTCTTGAAAGATTTCCCGGTCAAAATTTGTTCAAGGACGAATGAACAAGTTGGTGGTGCCTTGGAGTACTTCATGTCTACTGGAAATCTTGTTAGCCCAACGGGTTTGGATCTTCAACAAACTTCTGGATTTACGGTTGTGGCAGAAAAGATTAACTTCCTACGATTTATTGCCCATTTCCGTATGATTCACAGAGGTAGTTTCTTCGCTCAATTGAAGACTACTACTGTTCGTAAGTTGTTGCCAGAGAGTTGGGGTTTCATGTGTCCTGTCCACACTCCTGATGGAAGTCCTTGTGGACTGCTAAACCATCTTTCACACAAATGCATAATTCTCACACACGCCTCGGATGTATCGGCTTTACCAAAGCTTCTTTCTGAACTTGGTGTCGTTAGCACCGGCTCATCATCCACTGATGAGAGTGTTGTTGTTCAATTAGATGGAAAGATTATGGGCTGGTGTTCACCCAAGCAGTCTCTTGTTATTGCGGATACTCTACGTTACTGGAAGGTTGAAAAGTCACATGGTGTTCCAACCAATTTAGAAATTGGTTATATCCCCAATTCACACGGTGGACAATATCCGGGTATCTATTTGTCTGCTGCACCAGCTAGAATGGTCAGACCAGTGAAATATCTTCCTCTCGATAAAGAAGATTTTGTTGGACCACTCGAACAACCTTTCATGTCTATTGCAGTTACCGAGCAAGAGATCGAATCTGGGGAACACACTCACGTCGAGTTTGATCCTACTCATATCCTTTCCATCCTTGCCAACATGACCCCCTTCTCCGATTTCAACCAATCGCCCAGAAATATGTACCAATGTCAGATGGGTAAACAATCTATGGGTACACCCGGAACAGCCATTCGTTACAGAACCGACAACAAGGCCTATCGCCTTCAAACTGGACAAACCCCGATTGTCCGCGCACCACTTCACAACGAATATGGTTTTGATAACTTCCCCAACGGAATGAACTCCGTTGTTGCCGTCATTTCTTACACTGGATACGACATGGACGACGCTATGATTATCAACAAGTCCGCGCACGAGCGCGGCTTCGGTCATGGAACAATCTACAAGACCAAAAAGTATGAATTGGAAGAAGGTCACAAATCTCGATCTGCTAAAAATATCAAGAAACTTTTCGGTTTCGCTCCTGGTGGACTCGTGAAAGCTGAATGGAAAGCAGCCATCGATGAGGATGGTTTACCATTTATTGGCCGAATGGTGCAAAACGGTGATTTGATTGCTGCATGGCATACAGTTTCGATGGACGAGAATGGAAAATACGTCAATCGAGATGGCCAAACTCATTTCGAGAAATACAAAGAGACTGAAATCGCATTCATCGAGGAAGTTCGATTGATTGGAAATGAGAACGGAATAGAGCCTTGTCAAGCCATTTCTGTCAAACTTCGCATCCCTCGTTCTCCAGTTATCGGAGACAAGTTTTCGAGTCGTCACGGACAAAAGGGTGTTTGTTCACAAAAATGGCCAGCGGTCGACATGCCATTCACGGAATCTGGTATTCAACCTGATACCATCATCAATCCTCACGCTTTCCCTTCTCGTATGACTATTGGTATGTTCGTCGAGTCCTTGGCCGGAAAAGCTGGTGCATTACATGGTTTGGCTCAAGATAGTACCCCGTTCAAATTCGACGAGGAACATAAGGCTGGTGACTACTTCGGACATCAATTGATGAAGGCTGGATACAACTACTACGGTAATGAACCTATGTATTCTGGTATTACCGGAGAGGAGTTGCACGCCGATATTTACATTGGAGTTGTCTACTACCAACGTCTTCGTCACATGGTAAACGATAAATACCAAGTCAGAACCACAGGTCCAGTCACACAACTCACTGGTCAACCGATCAAGGGTAGAAAGAAGGGTGGTGGTATTCGTGTGGGAGAGATGGAACGTGATTCTTTGCTGGCTCACGGTACTGCTTTCTTGTTGCAGGATAGATTACTCAACTGCTCTGATTACACCAAATCGTGGATCTGCAAGGAATGTGGAACTTTCTTGTCAACTCAACCTACCGTTTCGGCATTTG